TAGCCACAACTCCCGTACCGATAGACTCAGAACCTCTAAAAACTACAAAACATAAACATACGACACATGGCACAATGTCGTACCTAATAGAATAGGTTTTACTCGATTATTCATTAAGTTTCCTTTTTTTTAACTTTCGTTTTAACGAAATCACTTTCTATGATATTCTAGTATGGCAATAAATGCAGACGGAGTCGCCAAGATATGCGCACGACTGGCGCGAATCGAAGATGTCGGCAAATGACGCGATTTAAAGGATTTGTTGCTCAGCAAGATGGAAGCTCTCAAAGGACAGGATAAACTTATAACCATGTTATGTACAGATTAGGTGGAAAACTTTTCCAAAACGTACAAAAGATTATGTTGATAGTTGCATGACTCGTAGGTGGCGGAGCAATGATCGGCTGAAATTATTATGGTGGTATGATTGACAATGCAACGTGAAGTGGTTTTTTACAAAATATTTGACTGCAAGGTGATAATTACAGGTAAGTGACATTGCGCGTCACATTGAATACAAAAGCGATAAACCATAAACTAATGTAAGCGTACCATACAGGAATTTTAAGATTTAAAATGCACGAGAGAGCAAGAAGACCGCTAGATCGATCGCGTTGATAGCTCGTGAGCGATTATGCTGAGCAATATTGTTGAGAACGCCAACTTTTATGTGACTCCAGCATTTAGGATTGTGATCAAGACCTCCATAAATGACGTAGGTGAATTGAGTATGCGGACTACGGACATGATAAATATGCACTTGAAGTTTCAAAATCTTTGAACACTTTGCTCACGATTGCTGTGCATTGCTAGTATGAAAAAGTAAACAAAGACGACGATGAGCTGGGCAGCACATTTATTATATGTGTAGTAAGAGTGCCGCATAAAGATAGAGCCGCTAGTTTCTTCTTCCCACGTTATAAGCGTGAGCTTGTTGTACACACCTAGCAGCTAATTTGAATTTTGTACAGCAATGGGTACATTATGATTGCTATCATTTGAACTGTTATCGTATTTACATTTTTGCTGACCTGTAATATGCGCGAACCGGGAGTTAATACCTAAACGAGCGCTTGCAAGTGCGACAGAACCTTACGCATCCATTTTGTAGCGAGAGACGTTATTAGCCATTGCATCAACAATGTCACTTTTATAATTGTTCCCACGGCAATTAAAAACGCGTTTTTTTACTTTAGCGACGCCGATTGGCACAATAAATTTGCCCTGAAAAGACTTCCAATACCTTGTCCTACATGTATTATATCACCCCTGCTTTTGCTTAGTTCCTTATTATGACTAAACAAGGCGCAACAAGAACAGCTGGTCCATGCAAAGCACATTCCGTTACATAGATTCACAATGTAAAAATGAATCAGGCGAGGATAAGAAGATTCCTAGGCTATAGATAAAGGAGGAACGAAAACGAGTGCGATAAAGTTGAGCCGAACCTGTATTGTGACAATCCATCCATGCTAGGGCATGTACGCCGATAATGTCCTATTTTTTTTGGTGGCAAGTTCCACAGCGCTCACATTTAATTTTCCTCGGCTTCAATTTCAACATGTATAAATAGTGACAAATTTTCCAATTCGAGTTTCGTGATCCAACTGATCTACCTCTAGTGGCAATAGGAACGAGGTCTTTGATAAAAACATTGGCGCTTGTTCAATCTGTCGATTTCTTTTTAAATAAAAAAATGTTCAGAATTCAGAAATTTTGCTTTTTTCTTGTAAGCCTGAAATGGTTATATCAAGCATGACACCACTAGTATTTTTTGCGGCTGCGCATGGACTAGATGCCAGTGCGCGTCAAAATAAGTAACCTCTAATACGCTGTAAGCATCACGATTCGCTATCATGCTGTGTGAGCACGGTATGGTTTGAATTTGGCTAAAGGTACTCGTGTGCTTAACTCGATATTCCAATGGGACTAGTGACTTCTGATATTCATTACGAGCCTGATGAATGTGTAAGTTAAATAAGCTGCATTTTCATATTAAGCATAGTGCACTTAATACTAACCTTGTTCAGTGCATGATATAATATTTTATGCAAAACAGATGACCAAAAGTTACCTGACAGACGATTAAGATGTGTCAAGCGCTCAAATACATAGCGTTGACTTACAGTAAACCTATGATACTCGCAAGCCATGAGCAGCCTATGATGTACTGTTTTAAGATCTCCAGTAGATACTGCTATGCACTTCTTGATGATTGCGTGTCCTCTTTTATCTCATGAAGTCACAAGTTGTTCAAAGTGTTTGTTTTGTTAGTCCGCGCACAGACGAAAATTTCTTGTGAATTAGCCATGTGCTGTCACGATAGAGAAACGCATTCACACTACTTCGTCCTGCAGTAGCATGCCATTCTTCAGGTACTCCATTCCGGTAGCTGACCGACACGTGGCTCTTCAAGGGGCAAAAGCCCATCATAATCATCCATAGAATCAAATGTCGATCTCAATTTCGCCAATACGTTGTTTGCTTGTGCCACATGAACAGCAATAAGACCTCGTTAGGAAGAGAAATTGACACAGATACCAAAAGGGCAAGCTCTTTATCTGTAACGATACATATGAAGTCTTGCATTAGATTGTCAAAACAATGCTTCACCTCATATAGCAGCGAGAGGTAGCCAGTCTCTGTTTTACGCTGCATAAAGCAATTAAAAGGAAAATGAAGGAATGGTTGCATTGACACTCATCACATGCAGCTTGTCATCTTAAAGCTGTTCAAGTAATAAAAACGAGATGAAGATCAGTTCATGCACGCCTTTAGAATGAAGAATCATATCACAATACCCACCGATTTGTTTTGTACGTGGAGTACATCACAAAATTTGTTTGACGAAAAATCTCTCGTCATAAGTAGACTACGGCTATTTACAAAAAGCAATTTATTGGGCTCATATCCTCCCGTTGATAGAGACTGTGATACAAATTTCTTGTGGCCAGGTCATTTAGCAAGGCCTCTTAGGGAGTACTGCCTTACGAGTATCTCCTTCGGCGCTTCTACTGCAAGTTTGAAAAATCTCAAGCTGTTGCCAAGCATTTTTCACTGTTACATAAAGCAGACAAAACATGGCGTGGCTGCACTCCACTTAAGTCAGAAATGAAACTCGCTGGTGCTGTAAGTTGGACTGCTTTCTCATACTCGCAAAAGCTGCAACATTGTCGGCGCGCTCATGACGGTGTTCGGTGCCCTTATCTCGATTTATCAGCAGTGTTCTTCTCCGCCCTCCCGCACGAAAATGCACCATTGGAAACCCAGTCGATGGGTAATTGTGCTACGACACCACGACCTTCTTCTCGATGTGTTCCTCCATGGCTGCAACCAAGACAGAGAGTTGCCCGCTTCGAAAGTTCTACTTTGCTTCGGAGCGACTTGATTCGTAGCTTTCCATACAGCGTTTTTTGTGCATTCACAAAAGTATCATAGGCATCCTCCAGAGCAAGTGTTGCCACAAAATACATAAATAAAACTGTTAAACAAGGTAAGAGATCAAATTCTTTTATTAGGGCGTTACGATTGCGTGTTCTTGGTGAACTACCGGTTTCATAGGGGCTTATGTAACACGTTCTAAAGCTAAAACTGTGCTAAAAAGTTCATCTGATTGCGAGCCCAAGGGGTGAATCTATTCGTGACTATGCGCAAGGTTGTAGGCTAAACTTTCAAATCGTACTTATCTGTGTGTGTAAAAACGCAGTTATGTGTACCTTACAGGTACTAAGTAAGATCTAGCCTACCCCCTACTTATAGGTATGTTTGCAGATTTAAAGTCACTATTTAGTTAGGTCGCTATTGTGATGCTCGCATGTGCTTGGCTAGAAATCGATCAAAGGTAAATGTGATCACATCCGCAAACGCTGTACGCTAATAAGCACATGCCGATCACGTTGCCCAATCTTACTGTAGTTGGGTTAATACGTGCATCAACAGCATTATACTGATTACTCAGTGTCTGCGTTGCATAGTATTTTGCAATTTGATTCGGTTCTATGATCTGAGGTACTTATATCAAGGGGCGATGTAGCGGAGCTACCACAGCTCTAAAGTCAGAAGAATACTTTACGGGTTAAGCCAGAGGCCTACGGCTAACAGCCAATTAGTTGTGATGGCTAGTAGACGATTAGTTCTAAGGAACTAACATGTCAAGTTAAAGAGTCAGCTAGTTCTACGGAAACTAGCGCGGACTCTATGAGCTATTAAGTCTAACTACTGTAGCTCTAAGGAACTGCACGCACAATGTGCAAGGGGAATACAGGAGTCTAATGACTCTTTAATCCACGACAGTCCTAAAAAACTGTCAAGCGCAACACGCGGAAGGGGAAGTCTACGGACTTCCGCTCAACATGAAAACTGAATTTATTTGGATTTGATTTCAAGAAAAATCATACTTAAGTACACGAATATATCATACTAAACTAGAACTGATACAAATATTGGTATTCGAGCTCAATAGATAATTGGCATATCACTCAGTCATCAAATGATGACAGTACAAAGTACTTCCACGGTAATTACCGCAACTCAGTACATACCGACTAATCAGTATTCTCTATTGATGTAAAATCCAAGACCACACTTGTCTCCCATATCACATATTGGAGGTCTTCAACCAATTTAGCTGATAGCTGATGGCTGGTGTGACCCCGTTACAGGCGAGCTCCGGAGCCTGCTCCTCTATCTTATTAGCCAATCACCGATGTACTGTATGAATACCGGTTTAGGTGTGGACGGATAGCAAAAGTGTGTGTGTGGATTATTTTTCCTAACGGAATCGTGGGAGTTTTGACAAATAGCAAGCGATGACCATGTTGCTACTTCCTAGTGGCTACACTCGCCAGGCGAAAACCGGATGGTATACACGTATACCACTCAAACCTAGTCCACTTTTGAGGCTTGAAAGACCGATATTCGTCTTCCATCCCTGCCACATCTTATACCTCCTCATCTCCGATACGTCCCACCACCATCGTCGCGTCAATGCCAAGTGAGACATGGAAGCGCCGAACGATCTCGACCGCCGCCCACAAGCTCTAGACGCTGCCCCCGACACGGAAGGACGGAGGTTGCTACCGATCCAAGATGTGGACGCGGTGGAGGAGCCACGAGGACGAGCGGGACGCTCTGCTAGCCACGATTCCGGCCGAGCTCAAGCCGGGATGACGTTGGGTGGACGCTGTATACGTTGGGAGGAGAATGCGTTGGCGGCATCTGATACAAATTATTATTTACAGTCGGAGACTGGAAGAGATGGAGCTGGAGAAGCAGATGATGAAGATGATGCAGAAGCTGATGATGGAAATGGAGATGAGGATGGTGGTGATGTGATCGAACGTCTTGACATTGAAGAAGGAGAAGAAGAGGACGGCGAAGAGGAGGATGGAGAAGAGGAGAGGCAGGAGAGCGATGAGCAAACGGCTGTGGACGAGCTGCAGGCACTGTGTCGGCGGTGCTACCATTCGTTGCCGTTCGTGGCACTTTTTGTTGTTTACATTGCGTACGAACACGCAACTGGCATTTTGGTGTTTGTTATTGGCACGGTTGCAATCATGGGACTCGACCACCGCATACGTGAACAGGTGGCAATGAAGGACAAGGCGAGCGGTTGGCATCTCTTGAGTATCGTCACCATGTGCGCTATCGATATGGCTGTGATCTGTTTCTTAGATGGCGAGCCGAATCCGCTGCATCATTTTTCACAAATACTGCAGTCGACAGGTAGGACTCACGGAAGTGATAGCGGCGGCAACCTTGTGTCAAATGGTGTGATTTTTTGGCAGGTGCTGTGGACGGTCATTGTGAACGGTACGGTGATGTTGTGTTGCAGTTGACAGAGCGATGAGGTGAGCTGATCAGCATGTCGTTTTAGATTTTCTGGTTCGATTTTGGAGTATCATTGCAAAGGCCCTCGTAGCTGGTGCAAAGTCAGGCCGGTTCCAGTGCGAGAAAAAGTATGGAAATGAGGCGACAGCAATTGCGAACGTGAGTCGTGCTGTTGCGATCGAAGATGAAGCTACCGACGGCACTACAGATGAAACGCCACTTACGCGACACGCAGTTTCGGCGGTTTCCTTCAACCGAAGAAAGGTACGAAGGAAGCTGCTCGACTTGTCGGATTTGTTAGCACCGTTTTTCTGATTGGTATTGATATTCCTACCTTGTAGCGGAAGCTCTATGGCATTATTGAGATGTGCTCTATTTTTCTGCGGTCGTTGCTGGCTAGTATTCCTTGGTGCAGTTTCTACCAGCTCTGTGGTTCCAAGTTTATGGCAGATGTTTTCACCTTTGCCTATCTCCTGATCAAGGTGCGCGGGTGCTGCAAAATTGCCCGATAATGCGCTTATACGTTACAAACGAATGTTTTGCTATCTTTGAACAGGGCGTAGTTCTCGCAACTCATGGCAGACGTATATTCGTATTGGCACGCTCCTTGATCAGGCTGGGGCTCGAGTTTGGGGTGTATGTCTCGAGCGATGATCTGGTGGAAGCAGGGTCGCCTGACTGCTCTATCTGCTACGAGCCCATGAATCAGCCTGTGAAACTCGCGTGCTCGCACATGTTTTGCGAAGAGTGTGTGACTGAGTGGTTCGACCACGAGCGCTCGTGCCCTCTGTGTCGGGCCAGCGTGGGGACGTCGAATTCAACGGAAGCAGAAAACGTGAAGCCCCAATTTCTTGACGGTCGGACTAGTCTCGTGCCACAGGTTTTGTAGACGAACTACGAGTGAACTCTCGACTTCTGCGTGCACACCATTGTGTTCGATCATCCCATCTTACTTGTCTTCAAAGTGATGCAGCTTTGGTGTTCTCGTCAGGTGGCGTCAGCTGATTCAGCATAAGTTGTTTCCCACGCCGCCGGTTACGCGCAAAACCGTGAGGTGGACCTTTCCGGTCAAACGAAGTCGCGAGTCGAATTTTGCTACTATTCGAGGGTGGTGTTGATGCAGATGTCGACCCGAATACTGCAGTTGGTGAGTCTTACGAGTGTCCGCCATTGAACGAGGTGTACATGCCGCGACGCATGAGGTAGATGGATATGGTGCTCTTGCTAGCAGACAACAATGGTCGTGTGGCAGACGTGTCTTCGATTTGAGCACTGTGCTGCTTTGCAGACGTCACTACTTTAACACTCGAGTTTGTGCCGTGCCTTCGTTTTGAAATGATGGGCTAGGTTGTGGCAAGTGCAGTGGAGGTGCTAGCTGTCCCCGCGTTTCGTGGCTGCAGTACAGCAAAGTGACAACATGCTCGAAGCTTGTCTGAACTGAAGTTGGCACTCTCTGTTGTAAGACAAATGATTTGGAGTCAGCGAATGAGACACAAAAGAAGTATAGTGAAGAGCGCTGCACGGTGCCGTTCCTGTGGCTGACAACTCATGTCAGTCGATTCGATGTATGGCGAGACGCTGTAGCTGAGTACGACACAAAGCTGCACCGATGGTGGATGCGTTGTTTTACGGGCTGCAAAGCCGGGATCTGCAAAATCTGGTTCATTGTTCAGCATTCAGCTCTGTGTCAACCCCTCAGCTTGGATAGTTGTGTCGGCCTCCAACGATAAAATACCGACCGGTTGAGGTGCTCTAGTTGTTGTGGAGTCAACTGAGTTCCGTATCACACGACCGACTGAAATCTGGAAACATCTTCGTCATCCTTGATAAGCTTCTTTGCCCGTCTACTCCATGCTACTGTAAAAACATTTGGTTATCGTCAAGGTCCGGATGAACACTTTGCAGACTGCCAGCTGATTTGTGTTGATTTCTTGTTTCGGATTACACTCTGGATTATAGCGCGGACCTGCTGAACGTCAAGGCTCGAGATTTCGAGGGAAAGCATCGGTGCTACCGACGCTTTGAAAATGTGCTGGTGGCAACAGGTCATCATTGACTACCTCAAGTCTCGATCAGCTTTGCGCGCATCACGACGAGCTAGATTCGATGTGCATCGGCGTCGGCGATTTAATCAGGAGCAGTTGTCGTGGATACAGTGAACAGAGTGAAGACGAAACAGCAATCCTCATGCCAGCTACATTATTCACGCTTTCAGTTATATGCGTCTCGAGACTTCTTGTGACCTCAACAGGTAGATCCTGAGAGCTGAGAAGAAGGGTTTGCTAACAACTAGTAGGGTCCCAGAAGCCGCATTGACCATGCTCGCAAGAAAGTGTTCCTCTAGTTTGCAGAGCTGAAGAATGTTTGAGTTGTCCAGCTCCATGCCCGGCCTAACAGTCTTGTGATCATGCTTTTATCCTGCTAACTTTTCGTGTAATAGCTGTGTTGACAAGTTTTCCGACAGACGCCATTTTCTCCTACAGCATTACGCTTTTCACGCATCAAAGCATCCCAAATCGGCTTTCCAAAGTGTTGATCCTTTTCCGTGAGTGTCCGTTATCTCAGCATAAATGCGTGAAGCCGTAATTATGGTCCGAGATTGTGGAGGCACGGATATTGGCACATGAACTCTACTGGAAAAAGCTTGCAGCGAAGTCGATTCGTGATGAGAACGTACCAGGAGATGACCGAAACGGATATTCCGACCGGTGCTGCTCGGCTGTCTGAACTTTTGACAGGCGGGGACCACAAACGTCAAGTATGACACTTTTGACCGCTACTCGACACCAGAAATTCAGGTTGATGTCCAATAATGCTGCATTCTTTTCCAGCCAGCATCGCTTGAGTTCGTGAACAGCTGAAGTATTTACCCAACGAGACACACATGATCGTGACCACTACGCCTGATAGAAATTGCGAGCAGCACAACAAAGGTCGGCCTCACTCAAGCTTGACGTATCCGGAAAACTAGATGTGAGCGGAAAAATAGTTTGGAATAACGGCCGACAAACCACTGCTCTCCCCTGTTTCCTGCAAAAACAGACCCGACAACTCCGGTTCGTTGTAACTCTATATATTTTCCCTTTCTGATCAAATGCCCAGCGCCTTGCTGCATGATTTACTGTGGTTCTCCATATGCTTTTCCAATCGCGCCCAGCCTCCTTGATGCGATTCAAGTTACATCTTGAATTAGCACAAGGTGATTCATATGGACAGAAGCTTGGGACTAGTCATCGCCAGCACCCATCCGATCGAGCGTCTTTTTCAACACTTCAAATGTCGTCCACGACACCGCCACGGAAGGTGCATGCACTAGCAGACGTGGGTAGACCCCCCGAAAGAAGCCTGCAAAGCCCTCCTGCGTCCTAATCTGAATGAGAGCGTCCATGAGACCGCCATACTGACGACACAATACTGGCCCTGTCTGATCCGTCTGTAAATGGCAGAATAATTACATCGAAGAAGTCAGTACGTCGTCCAAACACTCTTTGCCGCAACTCAGATTCGTCTACATACCCCTAGGCGGCTGTTAATGGAGCACGAAGAAGGAGTCGTTATAGATACGCTGCGTGTCTGGAGCTGCGCACAACGGGTACGAGATGAACACTGTGAATATAAACGCGAACAAACAGGGGGAATGTAAGCAAGAGAGACCCTAAACGGGAAGCACAAGAACCTGAAGCTCTGTTCTCGAGAACCGAGGCGACAAAGAAGTCGACTTTATGCGCGAGATGAAGTTCCCTACCGAAGCTTCATCAGTGGTCATCATGGACTGAGTCTGCAGCCGGGTCTTGGCTACATCCAGTGGGTTCGTCAACCCTCCAGCCTAGTAAGGACACAGAGCAGTACACGCAGCTAAAGATTAGGTCCAGTGCGACAACACACGTGCACCATTCGGTTCTGTCTCTCCAAAATCGTACAAGTGCTCCAGCCGCAGCACCAGATGCAATGTAAGCCGAGACATTCATTTCTCCCGATGGGTTCAAAATCTTCTTGAACGTCTCGTTTGCCGACACCATAATCATGCTAAATCAGCCAAGACATGCACATCACATCCGTCATCGAACCTGTCGCATCAACACTGCAGCAAACTGCCAACAAGATAAAACTGCGTTCACGTACCTGTATGGTAAATTCATCAACAGTGTCGTGGGGAAGCTAATATACAGCGCTCGCAAGCCTTCGTGCTTCATAACCTGAACAACACAGTGCCAACACATTGCCGTGAGCATCATGCCAGCAAAAAGAAAAGATGAATATCACCACCAACGAACGTCACTTTTGTTTTGCAACTCTTCTCACCGTCTGGAAACAATCGGCAACACCTCGATAATATCCCAATTGCAGACGCTGCTTGACCACCTGACGAAAAGAAGGAGAAGAAGACCATCACAAGAAGCACCGAAACATCAATATCAACGGCCAAAAACCACACGAGATAAAAAACGACACAAAAGCTCAACATAGCTACATACATCCATCGGCGTCATGATCGAGTCGTGGCAGACCGTCGCAATCACTCCCGCCAAGCCAGAAGCCATGGGCGTCAATGTACTGGTGTCTGCATTCAGCGCCTTCTTTGCTGCTTCAAAGACGGAAAAGTACACGGCATGGGCCGGTAAACTCGCACCCAGCATTGTACTGACGCCCCGAAAGAGCCGGAGGGGTCCTTCTTCAGCCACGAGCTGCCGCGCTGTCTGAGTGGCGGTCAGTGTGAGCGGGCGGCCAATCCCCGTGCAGCGTTGGCACTGCATGTGTGTCTAAGGAGCAGCAACCACAATAGTACGACAACAAGCACAATAGTACAACAACAAGCACAATGTCACATCACAATAAGAACCAACAACCCAATATAAGAGTAGCGGGTCGGCATTGCTGCTACTTCAGACAGATCGACCCAATCAGTGGTGCGTACGTACTTTGACGGTATCAATTGGGAAGATCGACACGTGCTCAGCGACGCCAGCAGCTGAACCAGCCACCATATGGTGCACAAACGAGCCTTTCTCAGGCGTCCACTCTTCCCAGTCCTCATCCAACGCGGTCATTGCGCAATGGGTTGCTCACTGAAGTAGTAGCAGTAGTAGATGCGCCGTCGTCGTACTCTGTGGTGTATTTGTTGTTATTGATTATTGATTATTGTTGATGCCGTTGGGTGGTGATGATAACGGACGCGTCTCTTTTGGCGTTTTTGACACGCTCCACCACACGAACCACACACACGACTGAGCGTCGGGAAGACGAGGCGAGACGGAGCAGAGGTTGGTTAATAGCCAATCAAAAGGAAGAGACGAGGAAAAAATAGAAGCCGTATTCGGGGTCGTCGAGGACGCGTGTTGTGCTGCTTTGTGCGGGTTTTGATAATTATTCTGCTTGTTTATACGAAACAAATTGCCGTAATCGATCATCGATTTGTGCAAACTTCGAGACTTGTGTTTTCTGAAATTTCGGAAAACGTTCGATTCGCAAGAAAACGTATCTGGACGCTAGTTTAAGCCATCTTGTATTTTGTCTTGTCACAAAAACGAACGACAGACAAACATGTACAACTTGACTTCGAAGTTCGAGAATGAAAGCAGCAAAGGCCGGTTGCCTTTAGGTCGTCCAAATAACATGGTGCTGCTCACTATGCGTTCCAATCGAGCTCGTGTTATGATAGACAACGGAAAATAACAAAGCGGCAATGAACAATGTCGGCACAATGTACTAGCGATTTAAGCTCCGTTTCCAATATTGCATAGCGTCAAGTCGTATTCATCTTGACAATTTATGCAAATTCGCCTCGATCGGGCATACCACGTACTTCCATGTGTAATGCGTACCTTGCGGAAGCACCTGTGTACTAGCCATAAGGTCTCATTGCACATTACAAACTGCAACTCTTGGTACAGTTACCACTGCACGAAGTAGGACTGACTCTCAATATGCTGGGCACCAGCGATATCGCATACCGAATCTCTGAGTACCTCCTCTCGTCAATAGAGATAGTAGCTAGTATGCCTAGGGCACTTTTGCGATGATAGACGTACGCACACATATCGCTGTTTCCTTTCAGTGAAACTTGTTAGAAATGATAGAGCCAGTGAGAGCCGGCGTCAACACGGCCAGCACATGTTTTTTGATGGCATAGAGAGTCGATTAGCGCAGTGTCGAAGTTGGAGAGAAGCATACAGCATGCAAGTAGTTTGAAGTAACGGTTGAAGTAGCGGCTGAAGAAACGGCTGATGACTTAGAGAGATGTAGGAAGATTAGTGATTGAGTGGACAGCATAGTGGATGATTGATTGAGTGGATAGGAGTGATGGAGAAAAGAACAACTAGTCAATCACGGTAGCAAGAAACGAATAAACTAAGACAATGACAGAATCCGTTCATCCGTCTCCTCGACAAGTGTATCCTAGAACAAAAGGTTGATGAGCCCAAGTTCTCAACACGATGCAAGATGACAACGTCAACGACCACTTCACCCTGGCTCTGGAGCACGACGACCGCAAAAAGGACCGCTCCTGCACCTGCTGAAGACGTCGCAACAGCTGCTCGCGAAAGGAGCAGCGAAGATGTCAACAAACGGATTCTCAACGCGCTTCTCGGTCTGGAAGAGCGTGTGATGCGCATGGAGGCTTCGCAGATCAAGACTGAAGAAGACGAGCGCATGCGCGGCGCGATTGAGAGTGGGATGTTCAGCTCCGCGCTCGGGCGTGACTTTGGGCGAGAAACGATGACGCGAGACGCTCTCGGATTTGCGCCGGCAGTGCGCAATGCCTCGTCGCCACATGGCCCGTACCACGGTTCGCGCGGTGCGCCGCTTATGCCGCAGTACACGCCTCCGCTCGGGCAGCCACAAGCTCCTCAAGTGGGACCAGCAGCAGCGCCGCCTCCAGCTGCTGCTTACGTGCCTGTGGGGAAGTACCGTGTGCCCGATGCTCGACAGCGCAAGCTCGCCATCCGGAAGTTTGATGGCAGCGAGCTCTACCAAGGTCTAGGCTCAAACTTCTTCGATTGGGGTAAGTCGTTTTGGCGACAAGTCGACATGGCTCAAGCAGCGTGCGGCTTCCTATGGACCGAAGATACCAAGACTGACGTCCTCGGGCAGTATCTCTCGGGTACTGCAGAACGTTATTTTAACAAGCAGATTAACGCTTGGTGGTCGGTGCTGCCGACACTGCAGTTCGTCATGGAAAAGATGCTCCAGACATTCCGTACAACGATCACAGCGTCGCAGGCCATGAGGCTGTTTACAGCGAAAAAGGACTCGAAGCGAACGTGGCCAGAACACTATCTTTATCTCGTGGCGGTGAGCGACGCTTGCGGAGGTGCCGATTCGAACGTGCTGGACAACATCGTGCGATATGCATCGGCCGAACTGTCCACTGTCCTCATGGCAAAGTACGACACCTCGCGCGTCGACCACCTCGCGCATGCAGAAGAACTCGCTCACTTTGCCCAATCGATCGAGCTCGATGCGCGTTCAAGTCGCTCATTTGGTCGTGACGTCGTGTCGCACGTGGCCGATGACGAGCCACGAAGAAGACGCGCACTTGCCACGGATGTGGTAAAGTCGGCCATCTGAAGCGCGACTGCCGAAGAAAAGAGAAGAAGCCGACTGGAAGACCCAGTGGAAGTCGCAACGATGGTGCGAACCTCACTCTATCGATCGACGAAGACCCGAGCAGTGACAACAGCGTGTGGATCCTGGATAGTGGATCCAGCCTACACATTGTCAACGACGATCGACTGCTGATTAACGCAAAGCGATGTGACCCAGAGTGCATTGTCGCAGATGGTGAGCCGTTTCGCCTATCGCTTGTCGGTAGTGTGGACATTCGCGTGTTTGTCGACCAGCAGCCCCGTATGATTCGCGTAACAGACGTCTACTTCGCGCCGCTGCTCGCTCGCAACATCCTGTCATGCGGCAAGCTCGTGAAGAAAGGGTACAGTCTCGTGCACGACGACCAGCAGCTATCACTCGCCAACCAAGACACAGGCGACGTAGCGTTTGACGTGCAGATGCGCAACAACGTATTCTACGTGGCAACGTCGCCAGAAACGGGACGCAAGCAGTCGCCTACAGATGTGTTACTGGCGGCGATCACCGAAGAAATGACGGTGCCCGTGCGACAGGATGTGCAAAGCGGGACACTAATGCACTTTCACGAACGACTCGGTCATATTGCTCTCGACACCATCGAGCGAATGGCGCAGGATCCGGCAAGTGGCATCGAGCTCACCGACCGTAAACGGCTCACGTGCATCACCTGTGCTGAGGCGAAGCAAACACGAAATGCACAATCGCGGAAAGACAGCGGCAGGCACAGCCCGATCGATCGTATCGGCGGTGTCATCTGTTCGGATCTCAAAGGACCGATGACCCCCGCCGACCGCCTGAAGAACCGTTATATGGTCAACTTCATCGATCATTACAGCAACTACTGCCGCGTGTTTCTCGCGCCTACCAGGGACAAGGCCGCCAAGAAGTTCGAACACTTCCTTGCGTGGTTCGAAAAGAGTTTCGACTGCCGAATCCATGTGCTTCGCACAGATGGAGGCGGCGAGTACATGAACGTTGATCTGTTTTGCAAGGCAGCAGGCGTCGAGCGACAGAATAGTGAAGCTCGAAACCAGGCTTCAAACGGAAAGGCGGAGCGAATGCATCGCACTGTGCTTAACATGGCGCGGTCGATGATTTTTGCAAACCGCTTGCCGCTGTATTTCTGGGGAGATGCCGTCGAATACGCTGCATTCGTTCTGAATAGAAGTCCAACCAGTGCGAATGCACGCCGCGCGTCGCCACTACAAATGCTGACGAAGCAGACACCAGACCTGCGCGAGATCGTTGCGTTCGGGTCGATCTGCACGGTGTATCGCGATCCACGCAAGAACTCGCTCAAGCAACGAGCGCAAGTGAGAGTGATCGTCGGTCGTAGCGACGAAACTAAGGGGTACCGCGTGTTTTTGAAGAAAGACAACGTCGTCGTCGTCACATAACACGTGAAGAACATTGAAACGCTCAGTGACGAGCAGAACGATCGGTTGCAGCGCGTACTCGATGACGCAGATAAGGACGAACGTGCGATTGCGCAAGCACCGAAGGATGCTACGAAGAAGAAGAAGCAGTGGACGCACACAGCACACGGCACACGAAGCGCATCGAAGCGTGCTCAAGTGTCTGCAGCTCAGGAGGAGCCAGCAAGCGCGATCGACATCGCCGCTCACCTGTACGAACGTGATCCGACCAACAACAGCGAGGCAATGCGGAGCACGAAGCGTCCCGACTGGGAAAAAGCGATGCGTGAAGAAATCGCAGCGCTCGAAGCGAACGATGTGTGGCGTGTGATCAAGCGCCCTGCCGGTAGCAACGCGCTGCATAGCAAGTGGGTTTACAAAACAAAAACCGACGCACATGGCGACCTGGAGCGCTACAAGGCTCGACTGGTCGCATGTGGCAATGAACAGGTGTTCGGCATCGACTACCAGCTCACCTTCGCGGCCGTCATGGACATGTCGACCGTGAAGGTTATTATCGCGCTTGCAGCAACACGGAACGTGCCAGCCAAACACGGGGACATTCCAAATGCCTACGTTCGCGCAAATAAGGAAGCGAACCTCGAGATCCTGCTTCAAGTACCACGCGGCATGGAGGTGAACGACACGACGTTGCAGCAATTAGGAGAAAAGGACAAGAACGGTGTCGTGTTGCAGCTCAAGAAGAGCTTATATGGGTTAAAGCAGGCGGGACGCCTGTGGAGCCAGTTGCTACACTCAAGCCTCACCGATGCCGGTTTCCTACGTTGTTGCTCGGACATGTGTTTGTACTGGAAGTATGAAGGCGCCGAGCTCGTCGTCGTAGGAGCATACGTCGACGATCTCCTCGTGACCGGCACCAGCACTGCAGTTGTCGATCGCTTCTTTGTGAGCTTATCGACACTCGCGATTAAGGATCTCGGCGAAGTAAGCAAGTTTCTGGGAATGCGCGTCACGCGTGACGGCTCAAGCTACACGCTTGATCAAGAGGAATCGATCAAGGACCTGCTGCGCGAGCACGGCCTCGAGGCGGCGAACCCGACGCGCGCACCAATCAGTGCCGACTGCTACGACGCCGACGAAGGCGGCATGAAGATGCTTAAGGTCTTGTCATCGTCTGGAGAGCCAACAGTGAAGTCGTTCCAGTCGCTCGTCGGCAGTTTGCTTTGGATAGCACGTTGCACGCGTCCAGATGTCGCGTTTGCGGTGCATAAAGCAACTCGACAGACGCACGCACCTCGGCTCAAGGACTGGAAGTTGGCGAAGCGTATTGCTCGCTATCTCAAGGGCACAACTGCCTTGAAGATGATCATGACTCCAGTGCATGACGCGAGCTCTCCAATTACGCTCGAGGCGTACAGCGACGCTAATTACGCCGCGGACAAGAGCGACCGCAAGTCCCTAACTGGCAGTGTCGTGCTCGTGAACGGCATGGCTGTCAGCTGGGCGTCGCGCAAGCAAGGCGGCGTGACACTCTCGACCATGGAGGCCGAGTTTGTGGCCGCGTCGGAGACTGCACGAGAACTTCTCGGCATTCGAGAGATGCTCGGTGAGGTGGGCATGGCACCTGAGCTGCCCATGACGCTTCATGTTGACAACCAAGCAGCGATACGACAGCTCGACGGCGAAGCGACATCGATGAAGGCAAAGCACATCGACGTGCGAGTCAAGTTTGTGTGCGATTTCGTGCGTCGTGGCGTGATCAAGGCTCAATACGTCCACACAGACGAACAGCTTGCCGACGCACTGACAAAAGCCCTCGACGCGCCAAAGCTCGCAGCGATGAGAAAGCTCCTCGGTGTGGCGTAGACGAAAAGATGTTGACGACACAGGCGCACTCGAGGAGGAGTGTTAGAAATGATAGAGCCAGTGAGAGCCGGCGTCAACACGGCCAGCACATGTTTTTTGATGGCATAGAGAGTCGATTAGCGCAGTGTCGAAGTTGGAGAGAAGCATACAGCATGCAAGTAGTTTGAAGTAACGGTTGAAGTAGCGGCTGAAGAAACGGCTGATGACTTAGAGAGATGTAGGAAGATTAGTGATTGAGTGGACAGCATAGTGGATGATTGATTGAGTGGATAGGAGTGATGGAGAAAAGAACAACTAGTCAATCACGGTAGCAAGAAACGAATAAACTAAGACAATGACAGAATCCATTCATCCGTCTCCTCGACAAGTGTATCCTAGAACAAAACTCGTTTGCCATAGAACGCGATTCTCAATCGTATCTTGATGCAGTAGATGACTAGTCACGAGCCATTTCGATGGTCGTCTCCATTACGACGACGTCCAAAATCGAGTGCAAAGCGTGCCCAACTTTATATGGCGAGGCAGTAGATCTCATCCATGGTAGTGATTGTCTGCTGGATGGCGCCAGCGTGTTCAGGAAATTCGGGCCGAATAGCAGGCGCATACAAGATATTGTCGCTAGTTGCCGAAAGCACGATATCATTGTCACTGAGGGACTACCGGTAGCGCCTCACGAGCTTTACCTCGACAAGGTGATCTATCTCCGCAGGTATATAGTAGACTGTAGCGACTATCGGGCAGATGATGCCTTCCATTCCATTTGATCTTTGGCAAGGGTCTGTCTTCACGTAGCAAATAGCTTAATAATGTGTAAACGAGGACACTTGAGACATCACGAGCAGCAATGTGGTAAGTATAGGCAACCTTTTGAGTATTGATGAGCAATCTATGAGTAGGTCGTTTTGGAGAGCCTTCGCGTTTTAGCCGTCGAAGTGCATGCTCTGTTTGTGTGTGAGATCGCGTATGACACTAACGTTGCGGTCGCAAGCACAGTTGCCAGCTGACTAGTGGTGGGTTTGCAGATGCGGAGAGGAATGAGCTGCGTGGAATGCAAGCATGAGATTGTCTTGTCATGATGTAGAGGGTACGCTGGTATGAGTAATTCGTAGTGCATGATATTGCGAGCAAAGCGGCGCGTGAGCCTACAACTGGTAAGTGGTTCGCATGATCAAGACATGTTGACGATACTCCCATCTCCTGTTTCCCGACTGCGTACGCTAGTAAGGTATATCGCGTAGTAGCAGTGACTGGTACCGCTTGTTCATTTTCAACGTGTACGAGGAAGGGGTCAGTGATGCAGTCGACACCCGCTGACACTTGATCCAAAGTTTACCAAACAAAGGAAGTTCAGCCGAAATACTGCGCATTGTCACCCATCGACGTGTCCGTGATCGTTTAGTCAAATATTGAAGCGTAGGATCTCAGCGCTAATGACCGTGACACCTTCGCTGAAGAGCAGAGACTTTACTTGGGCCAACAAAGATCTAGCTGTCGACTCATTCTGCTTGTGGATGTAATAAATTAGGCAGACAATGGTCGGCACAACAGGAACGGGGAGACGGAGCATGTTGTGTGGCGATGGAGGTCAACAGCTGATTCGGATACTGCTCTGAAGCTAGCGAGCGACAACGGAGAGCAAAAGGTCGGCGCGTTTGTCGCAAGTGAACGATATCCTCCAACGTTTCACATATTTTGATGTCCATACATGCAGACTTCATGCTCAGCACTTCTACAGCTATTAACAACTTGATGGTGCATTCGAGCGTCGCTGATCCTCTGCAAGGACTCGACACATTCAACCACCTAAGGAACCTTTTGCATTGCCAATGCTGCATTCTTGTCTCGTATAGTATCGATCCGCTTGCAATCGCTCGTAGAAAGGTATCAAACCAGTGATTATCTCGGTTGCGTCAGCAAATCTTTTTGTCCTAAGATCGTGTATCTGATACTATATCCATCTCAGGATAGTCGTCAGGCACGCCCCGCTCGATTTGGGTAGATTTCTTGCGCAGCAACGAATAAAGATTTTGTTTGCGCTTGATCTTACGCTATCCAAGTCAGGCCAAGCCCCCCGGAACGAGACCTAAAATCACCAAACACATCAATGATTATTCATCGACAGTGCCATCACGAATAGAATTATAGCGTATGAAGCCGTAAAAATAATGTCAGCAGCAACCACTTTCGGCGACAGTGCAATCATAGCCGTCGTTGTCCAACTCTTACCTTACAAGGTCTTCACAAAAGCTGCCTGGATGCTACTGCATCCATGTCGAGATGACTCGAACTTGATTTTGCGAGGGATCAGCAGCAGCTGCTGCTCCACTCTGTCACATGTGAGACCACCCCTCTAAAGCCGATGCTCTGCAGAGGCGGACGTAGGATGTCGGTCCATGATTGTGTAGATCCTCGTTTTTGTCACGAGGACGTACCTCATGACCACAGTAACACTCGTCTCTTGAAAAATCAAAATTACAGTTGTCACTGTCTGCTGATCAAACGAACCCGAAGACTGGCAATCAACCGTCGGATTCTTGATACGGGGTCGTCCACAGCCAAAACAGCACCGAGTTACTCCACGGCCGAGCGATTCACATGATCGGCCCATGATGAGATCGAGAGCTCCACGTGAATTCACCATAGTCATCTCTCGAGTCTAACTTCAACGTCGTCATCCTCGTCGTAAGTCTCAGACGGAACGTAGAACATCGTAGCCGTCTCCTGAAGTGATGCGTAAACAAATCTCGAAACATATCGCACGTTTCACGATCCTCTGCGATCAGGAGCACATTTGGATCGCGTTTTCTTCCTCTGGAAGTGGCATCCCCTCGACCAGAAGACCAACTCCTCCCATTTGTCAATCACTTCTGAAAAAGAGAAGGAGATCCATGTACACCTTGCATCAGAGCTCGACAAATGCCGTCAGTACCGTTTCAGCAGTATCCGCTTGCTTCAACATGACGGTCGAGTCCACCAAAACGCTCTACACCGGTCTGTTGACAAAACTTGCTGCGTTCGCGACACTCGAGTCGCTCAAGTCTGTCGATGCGACCGAGCGCACACCATTGCAGCACCAAAGGCGAGCAGCAGTGATGCCCCGTGCCTGGGTTCTTGAGTCAGCTGAGCACAAATTGACATCGACACCAAGTCGACAACACCCAAAAGTGCCCTTGAGACAACACTGCAGCGAGTTTCACGCCGTGCTGCGTTTGTCGTTCCAGATCCTGCTGTTCGGTATCGTCGACTTTGCCCCAAACTTCCTCAGCGACGTGCTCACGGGTCACCTCAGTGCTGCTAATAGCAGTGCATTCATGGCTGGTCGCAGTCTCGCTATCATCTTCGCAGTATTCACGAGCATGACTCTTGTCGCTGCTATGAGTGCAGCAATGGATACACTCTGTGCTCAAGCGTACGGTGCCGGTAAGCTGCGGGACCTCGGTCTTTTCTTTCAAACGGGCTTGATCGTCCTTTGCATTGGCTATCCATTCGTTGTCCTCGCCAGTGTCTATTGTGTCGAGCTTCTTACGTTCGCCGGACAGCAGCGGGAACTTGCTGAACTGGCCCATAAATTGGTGATGCTGACCCTGCCTGGTGTGCCTTTCATTGCTGTGAACACGTTGATGGGCAAAATCTTGCAAGGGCAGAGTCGTATGACACCCCTCGTGGTGATCGGGCTTGTTGCCAGCATTGTGCAGACTGCACTGATGTACGTCTTCATGTTCCAGACAGCACTTGGCTTCTATGGCTCAGCTGTGGCCATGTCTGCAACAACGTTTTGCTATGCGGTCGCCTTGGCCACGTATTTGCAATGCAGTGGTCTCTATCAACGCGAATGGCCCGGCTGGCAATTCGCTGAAGCTGTTCAACGGATGCCTGAATTCGTGCGCTTGGGTGTATCGGGCATGGCGATGTTCGTGTGTGAAGTCTGGAGCTTTGCAACCATCGGACTCTCGTCGGGCATGCTCTCGCATGCCAACACAGTTGTCAGTGCCGATTCCGGCTACATCAACCTTCGATTGCTAGGGATGTTGTGGTACACGGCGATTGCGCTGGCAGCTTCCGTGCGCGTTGGAAACGCATTGGGTGCAAATGATCCAGCACGGGCTCGGCACACGGCGAAACTTGCACTGAGTCTAAGCGCCTTGTGTGCTTTAGGGGCGTCGGCTGGCATGTCGCTGTTCCATGATGTGCTCCCACTCGTCTTTACGAAAGACGAACAAGTTGTCAGCATAACGTCCGAGCTACTGCTCGTGACGAGTCCACTGCAAGTTTTCACGGCAATTGCAGCCGTCACTCAGGGCATTTTTCGTGGCTGTGGCTTGCAAGCGCTTGGAGCGAGAGTCAATTTCGTGTCTTACGTACTGCTTGCGTTGCCGCTGGGACTGCTACTGGCCTTCTCGCTTAAAATGGGCCTCTTGGGTCTCTGGCTCGGGATTCATGCTGGGTTGACTGCAGGTGGACTCTTTAGTATCTACTGGTTGGCAATCCGTGCTGACTGGGCAAAGCTAGCACACCAAGCATCCAAACGGGCGACGGACACGGGCAATGGCGTGACAAACGAAGCTTTTTCCCAGTTGACCACTCGAGAAAAGTATTTGCCTTCGCCTGGTGTCACGTCCGATGAATCTTCATCATGCTCCGACAGTATTTTCGGGCCATCTGCGCGCCTCGCATGAGCTACAATATTTTCATAGGCATGTACGTGCGAACATCACATGCTTGAGCCAACGATACGTCAAGTATTGTGTTCCCGGTCTGCCGGCCTACATTATCAGCATAAGAAATCACATTAAGACATGAAGCTAAAAAATAATTGAAAAATATGACACGCGTTGAGATGCTACTGCACATTTGGTAGGACGCTTACCCGACTTCAGCACGTAAAGCAATGATCCTGACAAACCCGTTCATAGATTCGGCAGGGGAGATACGAGCTTGACTTTGTACGCTATTTCCGCCATCTTGTGACACGCCTACAAATATTCCTGAACTGACCTGCACACGTGCAATGACCAATGCAACAGATATGCATTGCAATACCAAGCACAAGTGGCATTCCAACTGCACAAAAGTCAAGCTGCACACAAGTGATTGCTCGCCGCAAGCACGAAGCACGGATGTTTTCCGCGACAAACGCGAGGGTGGGGCTAGCTGAAGCACCATTTCCTGGATAAAATTTATCGTCACAGACCGCCCTGTCATCTGAGGTACACGCACAGAGTGTAGAAAGATGCGAAGTACATGACAGCCAGCTGTAACTTCAGGTATCGACAGTGAAGCTCATTGCAATCATGTTGAGACACGCGCGACGTATCTGTCCAGCTCTTACAGTATAACCCAAACTGATCGCATGCGACGCAGAATCGCGGTCATAGTGCAATTGCAAGTCAAACTGTCCACCTCCGTCAATTGCACTTGTGTTGTCCGCCTGCAGCGTGAGCCAGTATCCATTATCCAGGACGTAATCCCAAGCAAGAATGTGACTCTAGGATACCTGACGGACCTCATTCCAGCCGTATCCGGCACGACTCGTACCTTGCGGTTGCATAGAATTTTCGGAGGCATCGCTGTTGTCGTCAACAACATTCCAGCTCACCAACCCCTCGTACTTTGACATATTCCAACGTTATGTGAGTGCCAAGAAGCAGTCAGCACAGTGACTCCAAATGAAGTGCACCAGCGACAACATCAGAAAAGAGGACCCGATACATGTGTTTGCAACACACTCTTCAGTACCACTTCATCGTGATTCAGGATGACGCTACCACAATACTGACAACAATCAGTCGACCAACAGTAGCCGCAGTGACACGGTCTTGGTCACACAACACAGATAATCATGGAGGATTGCTGCATGCACTAAATAAATAGATCACATCACCAAATCGTTACCAAAACAAACCGACGTCCGAGAATGCAAGGCTATCTCTGCTGTCACGATGAACCCGCCCGCTGGACGCAAACGCTCTGCCTCGGTCAATAGGACCTCCAGAGCGTGACATTCGCCCGATCAGTCGACTAGCCGTGACTTAAATGGCAGCACATATGCAGCTTCTGTACGAAACTTGTGCTACAATCGCTCCACTCATCGTCAGCAGCATTCAGCATGCAGGTGCACACAGTTTCAGTCAAATCATCGCAAGCAAGGTGTTTGCTGAAGCTTGAGCGACACGTTCCGCAATGTCATGCGTAAATACTCACAGTATCCATACCGCCGATCACTTGGCGATGTTATAGCGCCTTGTACGAGAGATTACCCAGCTTTGTGCTAGAAGCTTCTACAGGCGAAACCCAGCTGTGCGCTAGTGGAACGGGTCCCTACTGTTCATTGTAGAGCGTTGTCGTGCTTCTTACGCTTTTCTACCGCGATGGCACGGTGCAGGTGGTCAAGCCACCGGTCTAAATCGGCCTGTGTCTCACTGGCCACCAAAAGCTTGCGTCCCACCTCAGTTGTAATCTCTAAACATAGCTTTTTAGTGCGCAAGGTCACGACGTGGCATACCGTGAAACTGCGCAGGAGCGCACCATTATCGCTCTTGAAGTAGCAGAGTATGGTACTATGCAGCGTAAAGTAGCGCCGTTTCCAGTTCTTTACCGTCCCGCCTTCCTTCCGCAACCACCCACTGCACACGACTGGTTCTTCCGTATCAGTACTGCCGATTGGAAGAGGCTGCCGACTTACTCCTGCTATAGCTGCTTCCCCCACTCGAAAGTTTGTCGGCTTCATCCGATCCTCCACGCACTTGCGCGTGGGTTGTACCGTCAGCTCTACTCGCTGCTTGCAGCTATCGTCACTCGATGCTGTGCTGACGGTTGACGACGCCTTTGACAAGCCACGCTTGAAAGCCGTGGCAGCCGTCACAAGAGTGTGCATGTTGTCGAGACGTGCATCCTCCTCAGCGTCATCAAAGTCAAACTGAGTGTCCTGCTCCAAATCACTTTCAATCGGCTCCGAAAGTACAGCAGCTTGCAGCAAACGATTCCAGGTCACCATCACACTCTCGCTACTTGCAACAACATGCATCACGCGGCCATTCTGAAAGTGAACATCCAGACAAAAAGGACGCTCATTTCCGATCGAGACATTCGCAACCACTCCACGTCCGAGAGGCGGAGCATCCGACGCGCTTGCATACGAAAGCTGCTTGCCGTCCAGCTTGAAAAATCGACGCTTCCAATTCTTAAAGTTCTTGCCCTTCTTCAGCAGCCAGCCACTACGACTCTCGGACACACTAGATGCAGCATCTTCATCACCTGCACCAAGTGATAGCCTCCCTATGGCACTACGACGTTCTTCAACGCTATCGCCCTCCGGAAGGCATTCGTTGAAATGATCGAGCCACGAGCGAATTTCTGCCGAAGACTCAGCCACTACGCGCAGCGTGCGGCCCGATGTCAGGATAAAATCCAGGCAATTTGGATACGTATCGTTGGGAACAGCGCTCTTGACGACGCCATTTCCACGCGGAGCCTCACCGATTTGTTCAAAGTAGTACAGCTTGTTGCCATCGACCATGAAGTAACGGCGCTTCAGCGAGCGGACACGAGCACCTTCTTTGCGAAGCCATCCACATTTTCGATTCAGACCGGTCACGGATGGCCGCGGATCAGTTGACGCCGAGGTGCTACCAGCATCAAGTAAACCAAGACGACTGTCAGGCGATTCGCGCAAAAGCGAACCAGCATCCTTGCTATCGTCGTCGCCCTCCATGTTGTCATCGACGCTACGCGAGTTATTATCAGCGCAGGCAAGAGTCAATTTGCGCCCGCTCGCACCACAAACGTTCACTCGATTTGCCGGTACAACTGGTGGCATCATTGTGCTGGATCCACCCCGACTGATTGCGCGGGTAATTCGATTACCAATGCTCGCCCCCCTGCTGACTACAACTGTCGAAGTCGCAGCTTCCTTTTTCAGCATCCCGGGATCCTTACCCAGCAATGTGCAAATAGCATGCACCCACTTGTCCACGGCATCTTGACTGTCAGCACTTACACAGAGCACGCGACCCGATTCAAGCTGCACGTACACAGAATTGGATCCCATTTCGCCAGGTTTCAACCCCACAACAGTTCCCGCGCCCTTCGGCACACTCTCACCAGGCCCGTCCTGATACTGCAGCTCAAACCCTTTCAGCTTGAAGTATCGTCGCTGCCACTCAGTGGACCGCTGTCCTCGTTTGTACAACCAGCCTTCACACAACACACTCTCTTCAAACGTCTCCCCAAGAAACGGTGCAATCTGTCCAGCATACGGGTCGCCAAAACAAGGGCGTTTTCCAATGGCTTGAGCAAGTGCGTGGTCCCACGCTTCAATCTCTGCAAATGTCTCGGCAGCAATCCTCAGGATACGGTTATTGTCCGAATAAATATCCAGTGCAAAAGGTCGCGACAGATTAATGTTTACAGCGTTCACTCTCGTCTCACCAAGAGGCTTTTCATCGAGCTGAGCTCGGTACTGAACCACGCGTCCCATCAGTGTCATATAACGTCGTTTCCACGTCTTAAAGTTCTGCCCTTCTTTCAAGAGCCACCCTTTCATGGCTACAGTACCACGGCCTGGCACTCCATGCGAGTTTTCCGTGGTCAGGCGCTTGTCTTTTGCGGCCTGTAAGACAGCTGAAATCTTGTCAAACCACTCGGTACTTTCGTCCTGGGTGTCCACTTGCATCTTCATCACTTGGTTCTTGAGCTCGCCTCGAATAATTAGAGCATTGGGGTATTCCACAGTATACTCGACACCATTGATGCAAAATCGACCTTTTTCGTCAATTCCTTTGCCACTTGGGGACTGTTCGGTAAAATAAATTAATTCGCGACCTTTTAGCACAAAATAACGACGTTTCCATGTTTTAATGATCCGGCCTTGTTTATAGCCCCAGCCTGCATGGTCGCAATAGGAGCTGCGCACAACACGGCCTAGAGCGATTACGTTCTTTGTAGCTGCTTGCAGATGCGCAACGCGCTGACGCGCTTCGAGACTCCCGCTGGACGTCGCGTCCGGCGTGAACATGTACGGGTTTAAGCGATCGAAAGTGGTTAAAACGGTGCACGAGTTGCGAAATGGTGCGTTGTGCGATTGGTCAAAATGAGTTACAGGTAGGTGTTGCAATCAGACAAAACGCGATTGCCTGTACCGAAATGATAGCCGCACTGATTTAAGTTACTTTTGTCGCGGATTGTCGTAACGTGTAATTTATCGACAATTTCGCCTATTGTAGATCTGCGAACCCGGATGACATAGAGAGGAAGCACTACATTGTACGGATTAGGGCCCGACCAAAAGTCATTGGTCCGGGTCAGACCTCGACCCAGGACCCGGACTAAGGGCGACCAATTGGGTCGCTTTAGTCCAAAATACTTGTGTGTACCACATGATCTAGAATCGCAACGGAGCCCCCAAATATACAAGTGTGAATCATGTTTCGGATCAAGTGGGCAAGTATAGCGCTCGTGTGGCAAAGTTCTTCAGCAACACCGTCACAAGGGCCAACATACGTCTAAATATCCACTATAATCGAGTAGCATCGTATATGTGGTTGACATCCATACGTGTATATCTGATAGAAACGATCCTGTTTGACAGGTTAGAGGACAAGGGATATACCATGTGACGGTCTCACCTGATTGGCCAGTGGTATTACCAGGTGACATGTGGGACCACGAGGAGACGATCGGACAGATGGGACAGGAAGAGACATGGCGAAGATGTGACAGATGGGATGGCGAGGTGACAACTTGACGGTTGGGACCAGGCGATACCGTTGCAATATATGACCGACGTACGAGATGTGCAGGAAGGACGGATGCCATCAGGGAGGTCAAGTTGCAGTGCAGTTGCGGTGCATGTTGTAGCATTGACGAAGGAGAATAGTTAAAGCTAAATATTTATTTTACCTCTATTTCTAACTACCTCTGCACAAGTGCACAGCAAGCGTCTTAAACTAACAATATCTGTAACAGGCATCTCGCTTCTGCCAAGACCCTGCTTTTCATGCACTATTTCGATTTGCCTTACATACAAATTACGGTTTTTGCTACTGCAACATGTAAAAATGTTCAAAATAGCATACAAATTTTAAGTATAAAATGAACAATTAAAGACTCGCTGTATTTAATAGTGGGTCTTATTTGCCATTCTTCTCGATGGCCTCAATGCATCGTTGCGGCATCCAGCGAACAAGCGACACAAGTGTGACATCTGAAATTGCATTCCAAGTTGTAGTTAGCGCAGCCTTTAGCTTAGGCACGTGCTCGAACTGTGTTCCACTAGCGTACACTCGCCTGCTAGCGATGGACCACAAGTTCTCGATGGAATGAGATCAGGTGACTTCGACGGCCGGTCAAGCACCTGGATCCCCTCTTCACTGAAGAACTCGCGGCTACGATGTGAACGTGTACGCTTGCGTTGTTTTGTTGAGAAACAAAATCCGTTCCATAGTTTAAATGGCCAAATGGTAAAAGAATTTTAGACACTGTTTGTACATAATCATTCGAGTTCTGCCTCCCTTTCAGCACCCGAATAGAGGACTTGCCACGGGCGCTAAAAGCGGCCCAAGCCATGATATCCCCACCTCCATCTTGTCTTCCCCTAGTCTGGCGGACGGACTGGTGCAGATCTCTCCAGTAGTGCTGAAAGCCGTCGGACCTGTCAAGGTTCTATTTTTATCGTCCAAGAATATAATGGAGCCCCAGACGGACCCGGCATCTTCATGCTGTAGCATGTCCTTGACCTAAAACTTGCGCGCAACCATGTTCGCGACCGTGAGCGGCAACGTGTGTTTCAATTTGGCGTCTGAAGCCAATCGACGTTGGCTAAAATGCACTGCAAGGTGGTGCGTACGGACACTGGCAGGTTCAGATCTATCTTAAGCTGAGCGGCGGACATATTTCCTTGTGCAGAGGTGAGCAAGAGAAGTCAAACGTGGCACTTCGATAAAAGAGGGACAGGTCCTCGACATTACATTTGAAGGGAAGAAGTATGGGATTATACTCGACGTATAGTGTCATGGCTCCTCGAAGTGACAGTCTTGATGGAACGCACCCTTAGGCCAGCCTCTCGAAACCCCACCATTTTTCTTCGCTCGTGGTCGGTAAGTCTTATGTGCTCGAGTGGAATGTCAAAACTATTTGACAAGACCCCGAAACACTCACTGTGCCGGACTGTCAAATGTCAGAGGGGGTACTCCGATGCCGCTTGTGAACCTTGACTCACCTTGTGTACCCGTCGGCTGGCGGGTTTCACTCTTCGGAGTACCTGGTGATGATTGAAGACATCGGCCTTGATAGGGTCACCTGGGAGGGGGGTCCGAGCGGATATGCTTCAGTCGGGTTCAAATTTAGGTGGCTGCTCGATCGAATTGGTCGAGAGTGATCTTGTACCCAATTGAATCAGGTGCTGGTAGCGCCTGGCCTTTACTGGTCTCAGGGGTGTTAACCGCCTGGCCTTTATGTTTCTTCTCCCTTACCGCTAGGGTATGGAGACTGATTCCTATAGCAGGTTCGAATAGGGAGGGGGGTGCTACTCTACGAACTTACACGTCAATAAACTTCCTGGGGTTCTACTTACACTTGGCTCTTACTGACAACTGTCGATTCGAGGGGTGGGCCAAACAGATCCCTGGCCCGGAACAGGTCGGTAGACTTGCAAGCTTCTTACCGCACGACACGTCGTGCTACTTGGATCGCAAATTTAGTAGTATTTAATTTTGTCCCATTCTTTAGACACCTTTACCTTTGTCTTTGCCTTGCACCTAGGTTCTCTATGATGAGTGGCCAAGTAGGCCTACGGCTGACCAGGGCCCACCTTGGGAGATCTGGCCGACCGATGAGTTGTTGAGAACGATCCATATCGTATCGTTTAACTGGTAACGTCGGTGGGTTTGACCCCGTTGGCAGTAACCTTAGCCACTCGTCACGGTTGGAACCAACAGCCGCTCCTTACCTGTGACGTCCAGGTCTCCGGTCCCTTACGCAGCCGCGAGGTCCCATGTCCGTCCGGCTCATCGACCTTAAGTTCATCATTCCCGAAAACTCGCTTGACCACAGCCATCCCCCCACTTGATCGACCGTACAGCGGTTCGAGCACGGACGTGTATTCACCACAACAGTCCCGTGAGATCCACCTCCTCTTGTGGCTGGTATCTCGTAACCGTCTAATCTGTATATTCGCAGCGATGTCCTCACCTGGATCCGACTCACCGTCTGAGGGTCCGGCTCCAAATCCTGCTCTGCTTATACCTGCACCCTCGGCCGAGGTCGCAGTTTAAGTGGACTTAGTTGCAGCGTCACCCGTCGCTCTCGATTTTCCAGAATCATCACCGTTAATGAACGTTCGTGAGGCCATCTTGACCACGCTGTCGAATTTGCCACCGGTGGAGTCGGCATCTGTCACCTCGGGTGTGAGGTCGCCCCCAGTCGTGATTGATTCTTCTGTTGTTGCGGTCCATGCCGCTCCCGCTGATGTTGGTTCGGCCACACCAGTCGACCTCGTTGGTGGTCATTTGACCACCAGCGTACCAACCGTCGATGTGGTTGCATTGTGTCGCCGGGTCGAGGCCTGTGAGAGGCGACTAGCTTTGATGTGTCCGTCGCCACATTACTGTTCGCTCCGATGTGAGCGCTTGGAGCGGAAGTTAGGTAACTCCTGCGCTCTCGTATCACATCTTCGCGATAAGCTGGAGGTTGAGATGGCGCTTACCGATCACTGGCGACGGCAAGTTGACCTTCGGCATAGTCGGATGTCTCTCCTCGTGGCGGAACTCGGCCACTCCGATGACTTTAACGAACCGCTAAAGGGCGGTACCGGTCGTCCTACAAGATCGTCCATGTCGCCGACCCCTTCGAGGTGTTTAACCCCAACAAGGGTGTCATCCGAGGGATGCCAAGAGATTCGACCGCAAGTGATCGGCCCCAAGCTCCCGTAGCCGGTAAGCGGCCTCTAGAAAATTCTCTTCTCACCGCTAGATGGTCACCCTTCTCCTAAAAATGCAGATCTGTCTCAGATTCGGAAGACTCGAACGTGTTCTTGATAATAGACAGAGGAGTCGGGGTTTTCGGCACGGGTGTCGTGACTGCAAGGAGAAGAGGAGACGAAGTCTTCGTCCGACGACGGGAAGACCGAGATCTGGCCATGGTGGCCCGGACCGGTTCGCTGTCAGACCTGACACCATTTCCAGATGATGGCGGGATCACCGGCGAAGCAGCTTCCCCAAAGGTCTTAAAAACTGCCCTCCCTATCATCGGAGCACCCAGCGCGCTAACCTTCGCACGCTTGTGGACCTTGACTCACCTTGTGTACCCGTCGGCTGGCGGGTTTTACTCTTCGGAGGACCTGGTGATGATTGAAGACATCGGCCTTGATAGGGTCACCTGGGAGGGGGGTCCGAGCGGATATGCTTCAGTCGGGTTCAAATTTAGGTGGCTGCTCGATCGAATTGGTCGAGAGTGATCTTGTGCCCAATTGAATCAGGTGCTGGTAGCGCCTGGCCTTTACTGGTCTCAGGGGTGTTAACCGCCTGGCCTTTATGTTTCTTCTCCCTTACCGCTAGGGTATGGAGACTGATTCCTATAGCAGGTTCGAATAGGGAGGGGGTGCTACTCTACGAACTTACACGTCAATAAACTTCCTGGGGTTCTACTTACACTTGGCTCTTACTGACAACTGTCGATTCGAGGGGTGGGCCAAACAGATCCCTGGCCCGGAACAGGTCGGTAGACTTGCAAGCTTCTTACCGCACGACACGTCGTGCTACTTGGATCGCAAATTTAGTAGTATTTAATTTTGTCCCATTCTTTAGACACCTTTACCTTTGTCTTTGCCTTGCACCTAGGTTCTCTATGATGAGTGGCCAAGTAGGCCTACGGCTGACCAGGGCCCACCTTGGGAGATCTGGCCGACCGATGAGTTGTTGAGAACGATCCATATCGTATCGTTTAACTGGTAACGTCGGTGGGTTTGACCCCGTTGGCAGTAACCTTAGCCACTCGTCACGGTTGGAACCAACGGCCGCTCCTTACCTGTGACGTCCAGGTCTCCAGTCCCTTACGCAGCCGCGAGGTCCCATGTCCGTCCGGCTCATCGACCTTAAGTTCATCATTCCCGAAAACTCGCTTGACCACAGCCATCCCCCCACTTGATCGACCGTACAGCGGTTCGAGCACGGACGTGTATTCACCACAACAGTCCCGTGAGATCCACCTCCTCTTGTGGCTGGTATCTCGTAACCGTCTAATCTGTATATTCGCAGCGATGTCCTCACCTGGATCCGACTCACCGTCTGAGGGTCCGGCTCCAAATCCTGCTCTGCTTATACCTGCACCCTCGGCCGAGGTCGCAGTTTAAGTGGACTTAGTTGCAGCGTCACCCGTCGCTCTCGATTTTCCAGAATCATCACCGTTAATGAACGTTCGTGAGGCCATCTTGACCACGCTGTCGAATTTGCCACCGGTGGAGTCGGCATCTGTCACCTCGGGTGTGAGGTCGCCCCCAGTCGTGATTGATTCTTCTGTTGTTGTGGTCCATGCCGCTCCCGCTGATGTTGGTTCGGCCACACCAGTCGACCTCGTTGGTGGTCATTTGACCACCAGCGTACCAACCGTCGATGTGGTTGCATTGTGTCGCCGGGTCGAGGCCTGTGAGAGGCGACTAGCTTTGATGTGTCCGTCGCCACATTACTGTTCGCTCCGATGTGAGCGCTTGGAGCGGAAGTTAGGTAACTCCTGCGCTCTCGTATCACATCTTCGCGATAAGCTGGAGGTTGAGATGGCGCTTACCGATCACTGGCGACGGCAAGTTGACCTTCGGCATAGTCGGATGTCTCTCCTCGTGGCGGAACTCGGCCACTCCGATGACTTTAACGAACCGCTAAAGGGCGGTACCGGTCGTCCTACAAGATCGTCCATGTCGCCGACCCCTTCGAGGTGTTTAACCCCAACAAGGGTGTCATCCGAGGGATGCCAAGAGATTCGACCGCAAGTGATCGGCCCCAAGCTCCCGTAGCCGGTAAGCGGCCTCTAGAAAATTCTCTTCTCACCGCTAGATGGTCACTCTTCTCCTAAAAATGCAGATCTGTCTCAGATTCGGAAGACTCGAACGTGTTCTTGATAATAGACAGAGGGGTCGGGGTTTTCGGCACGGGTGTCGTGACTGCAAGGAGAAGAGGAGACGAAGTCTTCGTCCGACGACGGGAAGACCGAGATCTGGCCATGGTGGCCCGGACCGGTTCGCTGTCAGACCTGACACCATTTCCAGATGATGGCGGGATCACCGGCGAAGCAGCTTCCCCAAAGGTCTTAAAAACTGCCCTCCCTATCATCGGAGCACCCGGCGCGCTAACCTTCGCACGCTTGTGGACCTTGACTCACCTTGTGTACCCGTCGGCTGGCGGGTTTTACTCTTCGGAGGACCTGGTGATGATTGAAGACATCGGCCTTGATAGGGTCACCTGGGAGGGGGGTCCGAGCGGATATGCTTCAGTCGGGTTCAAATTTAGGTGGCTGCTCGATCGAATTGGTCGAGAGTGGTCTTGTAACCAATTGAATCAGGTGCTGGTAGGGCCTGGCCTTTACTGGTCTCAGGGGTGTTAACCGCCTGGCCTTTATGTTTCTTCTCCCTTACCGCTAGGGTATGGAGACTGATTCCTATAGCAGGTTCGAATCGGGAGGGGGGTGCTACTCTACGAACTTACACGTCAATAAACTTCCTGGGGTTCTACTCACACTTGGCTCTAACTGACAACTGTCGATTCGAGGGGTGGGCCAAACAGATCCCTGGCCCGGAACAGGTCGGTAGACTTGCAAGCTTCTTACCGCACGACACGTCGTGCTACTTAGATCGCAAATTTAGTAGTATTTAATATTGTCCAATCCTTTAGACTCCTTTTCTCTACCTTTGCCTTGCACCTAGGTTCTCTATGATGAGTGGCCAGGTAGGCATACGGGTGACCAGGGCCCACCTTGGGAGATCAGGCCGACCGGCGAGTGGTTGAGAACGATCCGTATCGGTACCGTTTAACTGGTATCGTCGGTGGGTTTGACCCCGTTGGCAGTAACATTAACCGCTCGTCACGGTTGGAACCAACGGCCGCTCCTTACCTGTGACGTCCAGGTCTCCGGTCCCTTACGCAGCCGCGAGGTCCCATGTCCGTCCGGCTCATCGACCATAACTTCATCATTCCCGAAAACTCGCTTGACCACAGCCATCCCCCCACTTGATCGACCGTACAGCGGTTCGAGCACGGACGTGTATTCACTACAACAGTCCCGTGAGATCCACCTCCTCTTGTGGCTGGTATCTCGTAACCGTCTAATCTGTATATTCGCAGCGATGTCCTCACCTGGATCCGACTCACCGTCTGAGGGTCCGGCTCCAAATCCTGCTCTGCTTATACCTGCACCCTCGGCCGAGGTCGCAGTTTAAGTGGACTTAGTTGCAGCGTCACCCGTCGCTCTCGATTTTCCAGAATCATCACCGTTAATGAACGTTCGTGAGGCCATCTTGACCACGCTGTCGAATTTGCCACCGGTGGAGTCGGCATCTGTCACCTCGGGTGTGAGGTCGCCCCCAGTCGTGATTGATTCTTCTGTTGTTGCGGTCCATGCCGCTCCCGCTGATGTTGGTTCGGCCACACCAGTCGACCTCGTTGGTGGTCATTTGACCACCAGCGTACCAACCGTCGATGTGGTTGCATTGTGTCGCCGGGTCGAGGCCTGTGAGAGGCGACTAGCTTTGATGTGTCCGTCGCCACATTACTGTTCGCTCCGATGTGAGCGCTTGGAGCGGAAGTTAGGTAACTCCTGCGCTCTCGTATCACATCTTCGCGATAAGCTGGAGGTTGAGATGGCGCTTACCGATCACTGGCGACGGCAAGTTGACCTTCGGCATAGTCGGATGTCTCTCCTCGTGGCGGAACTCGGCCACTCCGATGACTTTAACGAACCGCTAAAGGGCGGTACCGGTCGTCCTACAAGATCGTCCATGTCGCCGACCCCTTCGAGGTGTTTAACCCCAACAAGGGTGTCATCCGAGGGATGCCAAGAGATTCGACCGCAAGTGATCGGCCCCAAGCTCCCGTAGCCGGTAAGCGGCCTCTAGAAAATTCTCTTCTCACCGCTAGATGGTCACTCTTCTCCTAAAAATGCAGATCTGTCTCAGATTCGGAAGACTCGAACGTGTTCTTGATAATAGACAGAGGGGTCGGGGTTTTCGGCACGGGTGTCGTGACTGCAAGGAGAAGAGGAGACGAAGTCTTCGTCCGACGACGGGAAGACCGAGATCTGGCCATGGTGGCCCGGACCGGTTCGCTGTCAGACCTGACACCATTTCCAGATGATGGCGGGATCACCGGCGAAGCAGCTTCCCCAAAGGTCTTAAAAACTGCCCTCCCTATCATCGGAGCACCCGGCGCGCTAACCTTCGCACGCTTGTGGACCTTGACTCACCTTGTGTACCCGTCGGCTGGCGGGTTGTACTCTTCGGAGGACCTGGTGATGATTGAAGACATCGGCCTTGATAGGGTCACCTGGGAGGGGGTCCGAGCGGATATGCTTCAGTCGGGTTCAAATTTAGGTGGCTGCTCGATCGAATTGGTCGAGAGTGGTCTTGTAACCAATTGAATCAGGTGCTGGTAGGGCCTGGCCTTTACTGGTCTCAGGGGTGTTAACCGCCTGGCCTTTATGTTTCTTCTCCCTTACCGCTAGGGTATGGAGACTGATTCCTATAGCAGGTTCGAATCGGGAGGGGGTGCTACTCTACGAACTTACACGTCAATAAACTTCCTGGGGTTCTACTCACACTTGGCTCTAACTGACAACTGTCGATTCGAGGGGTGGGCCAAACAGATCCCTGGCCCGGAACAGGTCGGTAGACTTGCAATTTTCTTACCGCACGACATATCGTGCTACTTAGATCGCAAATTTAGTAGTA